TTCTTCCAGGGTTTGATTTAGCCAGGATAGTAGGAAGGAGAGAGGTTGTAAAATGGAATCAATTATATACCAATGAATTGAATGAATGTAATAGCAACAATATATGACTGAATACTGACTGGCCAAAACAAAATCAGCCAGAAAGGGACTATAGGTAAGAGGGTAACAAGAATTTTGTAGTTGTGATGGATTAAAGGTTGTTAGAATAAGTTAGGTCAAAGGATGAAACATTGTGATAGGAGAGTTGGGATCCAATATTTAACAATATATGTAGGTGGTGAGACAAATTAGAAGGAAAGTTCACTAAAAAAGATGGAGTAAAGAAACTGGAAGCAAAGGTACTCCACCAAAGAGAGTAAAGTCACCCAAATTGATAATATTAACATTGGACTAGTGTAAAGGAAGAAGGATAACCAGATAAGAAATTCCCAGCAATGAGTTGGCATTTTCATTGTGTGCATTTTAATATCCAAATTGGGTTACATATTTCACATGTATTAAGTTCCAGTGGCATTTTCATTGTGTGCATTGTAATATCCAATTGGGTTACATATTTCACATGTATTAAGTTCCAGCCTATTTACTCACAAATGGTAGCAAACATTAAATAATATTTTAAGATTTCACTAAGAAATTAATTAGAAGTTATATGTAAATGTGTGATTATTAATTACATCATCTATAATTATTTAATTGCTATTTTATATATACCGGTGTAATATTTGAGTGGATAAAAAAAGTTCAAAGCACTCATATCTTTTCCCTTTCCTTAGTTGTTGGGATAGCTTAATTGATCATGGTTACCTAAATTAATAAACCAAAATTATTTTTCAATAAGCTAATCCCCAAAAATATTTTCTGTGATTTGAAACCATGTTTTTCTTAGTTTAGAAGAACTGTGTGTCCCATTAGTGGAACAGTTATCTTGGGACACCATTGGAGAGGGAAATGAAAGATAACTAGTGGATTATAGGGCTTCATCTAATAGCATCCTACACTAGTTTAAAGGAAGATAGGCTAGTCTTTGAAAGCCAAACCCATCAAGTGGAATAATGTGAATATGATTCATTATAAAATTTCTCTCACTCCAAAGAAGACAGAGTTGAACATCATATTGCCAAACTTTATATTCCCAAAAAGACAGTAAATGAAGTTTGTCATTTTTCTACATTTTGAGTATTCAGTACTAAGTCACTGGGATTCCAAAGGAATACAGAGATAATAGCAGATTCTCCCTACTGAAGGGGTTATTGTGAGAACAATGTTTAAAGTCATATTTTACTTGTTGTATTCAGTTATTAAGACATTATATCTGAGTTTCTTTTTCCCTTCAGTGGTAAATATAATATTCTATCATCTTACAAGAAAACTAAAATTAATTAAAATTATTACATACACATAACTAATCACATGACTAAGAATATTATAAAAGTTTAGTAATTGACAGATATTGTTTTCTTGATCATAACAATCCTCTCTTATGAAATGGATATTGTTACATAAATTCCCCTGATCATTGTTCATCACTACAATGTTGGAGAAAGAGTCTGTGTTAGTTATCCTTCTGTTGCCATAACAAATACCCAAGTTTGGGGGGCGGGGAGACTTAAAAAAGAGGAAATGTTTATGATCACTTATGATTTCAGAGGTTTCAGTTGATGGTCACTTGTTCCTGTTCCTTTGATTCTGTAATTCTGTAGGACATTGCAACAGGAGTACTTGGCAGAGGAGGCCTGTTTGCCTTGTGATGATTTGGATATTAGATGTCCCCTAAAAGCTCATGCGTGAGACAATATGCAAGAAGGTTCTCAGGAGAAATGATTGGGTTGTGAGAGTCTTAACCCAATCAGTGATTTAATCCCCTGATAATGATTAACTCAGTAATAATTAAAGTGGTAGGATGTGGTTGGAGGAGGTAGAAACTGGGACATGGCTTTGGGTACGTATTTGTATCTGGAGAGTGGAGTCTCTCTCTCTGCCTCCTGGTCACCATGATGTGAGATGCTTTCCTCCACCACTCTCTCCCGCCATGATGTTCAGCCTCACTAGCAGCCCTGAGGAATGGAGCCAGTCTTCTATGGACTAAAACCTCTGAAACTGTGAGCCCTCAAATAAACTTTTCCTCCTCTATAACTGTGCTGGTCAGATCTTTTAGTCACAGAGGCAAAAAGGTGACTAAAACACACCTCCTGACAGGAAGCAAAGGGAAATAGTAAGGAGCCAGGGTCCCAATGTCCCTGTAAGAGGTTTCCCCTTATCACCCACCAGGCCTCACCTCCCAGTGTTTTGACTGTCTCCATTAGTGACACAGGCTGGGGATGAAACCTTTAACACAGGGGCTATTAGGGATATTTCAAATCCATACTGTACCAGAGTTTGCTTTAAAACTTACATTTTGCTTCAGAGAATAGAAATTTTTACCATGTTAAACTATATTGAGAGAACCTCTGGATATTTCATTTTTAAAAAACATAATATTCTATTAAATAATTAGGAGCTGTTTTCCTTAATCACAATTTTAAGTCAGCACATTTCCTAGGGAGGTTGAAGCCAAAAAACTGAATCAAACCTCAAATTTTTGTTTTGTCTGCAGAAACAAGACAAAATCATTGGCCAATGGGCCAATGCCCTTATCCTAACCTTTGATATTGTTTTTTCATCTGTGAAAGGGTAAGCATACCAAGTTTTACTTTTCTGAGTCATAAGTTAAGTGGCATTTAGATAAGAATATAGGGTTTTAACTTAAGAAGCTAACAGAAAAATAGACAAAAAGTAAGCAGAAAATAATAAAAGTACATACTAATGAGACAAAATAAACAAAAGGAAAAAGTTTTTAAAATAATATATGGATTTTGTTTTAAGATTTACTGAGTGGCATGAAATTTACAAAGTATGGTTTAAACAAGGCTATGTATTTACATTATATTCAGACCAAATTTTGCTTAAAAATATCCCATTTTTTTAAAAGAAAATAGCATACTTAAGAATGTTTAGCAATCTTAACCCAAGTAACTAAATAATAAATGTAAAAAACAAAACAAAAATTCTATAGATAATATTTTATTGAATTGCAAATGTATATTAAAGAATACAAAAACAAAAGGAAAGAGGGGAAGGCAAGCAGGAAGGAAGAAAGGGAGGGAGAAAGGAAAGGAGGGAGGAAAGATGTACCTCAAGAATGCATGCCTTCCTTCTAGCTCCCTGCTAAAGAATATTAACACAGGGAAATTACAGAGTTTTTAAGAACATGTTTCTAAAATTCTGAAAATAGATACTGAAAAACAAAGAACAATTCAGTTTTAGGGAAAATTTTATCTTTAAGATTGTCAAATAAAATTATTGGGATTTTATGACTTTTTATTGACCCCAAAGATCAAAAAAATCTGTAATAGGGTCACTTGTGCTAGATGCCACATAACCAACCTGAACTTAGATTAATGCAAGAGATTCACAGCAGTCAATCATGGAAGAGGCAATCAGCCTGAGCTGGTGTATGCTTTTACACTCACAAGGAATGTAACTTTGAATTGACCAATCCACTTCTGTTCTTGATTTTGCTTTCTTCATCCTTTTATAAATGGGCTGCTGCCAATTTGTTTATTAGTAACAAAAGCCAATTATATTTTTAAATACAATTTGTTGAAATTTTGTACTTTGACAGGGGAAGAAAGAACCAGCTTTAAAAAGTGGTAACAACATATTGTATATTTCAAAATTGCTAAGAGTATAAATTTAGAATGTTATCACCATAAAAGATGGTATGTGAGGTGCTGAATATGCTAATTAACTTCATTTAATCTCCTGCAATATATTTATATACAAAAATATCACATTGCATCCCATAAATACATACAATCACAATCACTATAATTATTATTTATCAGTTAAAAAGAAAAAAAAGTTGTTATAAATCAATAAATGAACTAAATTTTCTAGAAGTGATAACACATATAAAACTTTTTTAACTAATATTTTCTTGTTAATCACTAAAAGGGAGACCAGGGCTGGGGTTGTGGCTCAGCGATAGAGCCCCTGGGTTCAATCCTCAGCACCACCTACAAATAAATAAATAAAACAAATGTAATGTGTCCAACTACAACTAAAAAAAATAAGTATTAAAAAAGGGAGACCAAACATACAATTGTTTGAAATAGTACTTTTTTTTTTTTTGCTTTTTAGTGGTGCAAAAGCATTATATGTTCAATAGAAACTGTATTTCAAATTTTCCATTTTTTATCTTGTGCCAGGATAACAATATGCAATATTCTACTCACAATGCTGTCAGGAGTAGTGAGCCACAGCTTCCAGTCAGCCATGCCATCATGAGAGTGAAAAAACAACACTCCATAGTGTACTGTGTCGCCAGTGTTTTTGGATATATTCAATATGTTACATAAGATATTCAACACTTTGTTTTAAAGCAGGCTTTGTGTGAGAGGATTTTGTCCAATGCAGTCTAATATAAATGTGTTCTGAGCACACTGAAGGTAGCCTAGCTAAGGCATAATGATATGTAGGCTAGGTATATTAAATTTATTTTTTATTTATGGTAATTTCAATTTATAGAGGATTTATCAGAATACAATCCATCATAAATTGAGGAGAATCTGTATAAATTATATGATAAGTAAGAGCAATTTTTAGTTAGCTTTTCATGCAAATACATAATTTTAGGCTGATACCCTTGCAGATTAATTTTTCAAGTTTTAAAAGCTAAGTATTATTAGACTCATTTTATCTTTTCAAAATAGAGGGTTAAAATCAAGTCCCCCCCCACCCCAAGGCATACAATTTCTTCTCACATATAATAAAAACTAAATGAAATTAATTTAGAGGGGCCTAATTCATCCTAGCCAGCAAAATTTGCCTGAAGCCACAATGAACATGCCATCCTATGTGAGAAAAGATGGCATGGGTCAGACAAGAGATTAACTAGTCTTTTATGGACAAAATAAAAATCATCAGAATCACATGTGGATTGTACTCATTTAATTACTAACCTGAGAAAAGGGAGTCTTAGTTCTGTGTGTTCAAACCCATTGATAAACAGCTGGCTATCTCTGGCAGGGTTGTTGATATAGATTCTCATTCTGATTTTTTTGTTAAGTATACATCTGGCAATAGAACCTCTTCTGGTTGATAGGAGTATTCCAGTTACCATGACAATAATATTTGTCTTGGAAAGTAAATAAATTAGCCTTCTGTACATGGGACTGTTTGGGTGTATGTGTGTGCATGCCTGTGTGTGTATAAAATTCTAGTCTTTGAGTTCTCTTGGGATACTCCTGACAAAGCCACACCCTATTGTCCTGTGAAGATTTCTTTTCATATTGACCTCTGTTTCAGTAAGTGTCATCAAAATGACTAAACTGTATAAATCTATGTTAAATTTATGCTATCAATGAAATTGTAGACTGTTTTTATTAAAGGATCCCTGAAAACCTTTTATAACCTTTAATTAAAATTCTATCAAGAATATTATGATATTAGAACGCTTCTTATTATAATCATAAGTTAGGGCAGTACAATGATTTTGTGATATTTTGTCCAGGCACCACTGATATCGCCGACCTCAAATGTTGAAGTATAACACAAGAGAAGCTCAGGGCAAACATAGGGTAGAAAGTAAGAAGTTTTTTTTAAAGAATAATAAAACAGACTTCTCCAGAGAAGAAGAAGGGGACCCAAAGGCGGAATCCCTGGGATGAGGAAGTCCTGTCCTTTTTATGCATCTAAAGTTTCCTTTGTTCTCCTTCATCTTCTTGTTTACCTTGTTCATTTCCCCCTATCCTGCACACATGACTGGAAGATGCTGGTGGGGTGGCCAAAAGGTGAGCAGGTGTGCTGGAAGGGCCAAGATGGAATGCTGGGCAGGAAGGGAGCAGCAGCCAGGGGGGCATTAGTTAGCCGCTCCCTGTCTGCTCAGGAGTTGCTTCATTAACAACCTTTTGGGAGGGGTAGTATAGGCAGCTATACTACCAAATAACTAAAATAATCAAAATGAATATTATAATGAAAAAACTGATAAATAAAATTAATGCAAGGAACCCCCAAAAATCAAATATAAGCATTATCAGTATTACTGCTTTTCATTTTGCCTTAGGCTCCAGTATGACTCTGACTCAAAATTATTATAATACCCAAACTCTGACTAATTTAAGCTTCACTAGAAGTATATTAGGTAAATCACAGAATTTTCAGTTACTTAGAAAACAATGCTCATAACCTAGAAAGCAAAAATTTTAGGCATCAAGAAAAGCACCGGTAGATCATTCTTAACACACAATTACTGCTTTTTTGACCATTGGATATATCATTAAAGAATTCTAAACTTAGCAATTGTAAAATCTCCCAACATCCTTCTAACAGTCTTTCGGATTCAAAATCTTAGAAAAATTAAATTGTTTTTCCTTGATGTATGGGACTTCGTTTACTTGATTCACTAGAATTTACTTCTTGTCAATACCACTAAGGGAGGATTCTACAGAAACAAGAAGCATACTCAGGTACTGAATAGTAATAAAATTGTCTGTGTTTTCTACGTGCATTTTTACCTTGGAATACATCAAAGCAAAAGCCCATTGTTGTCACTGGATAAAATGTAAAGATAAAAATATAGAAAGGCTAACATTATGTGTTATAAAAGAAAGAGTAGAATTTGAACTGGTCATGTTGATTTATAAATATGGTGATATTGTCTTTTTTTTT